AAAAAAAAAAAAACAATAAATAAGTGGACAAAAAAAAAGAAAAATAAAATGGAGTGGACAAATATAAAAACGCCGTATTCATGAAATACGGTTTTCGACAACATTATATATAAACCGTATTTCTGAAATACGGGTTTGATTATTTTAAAATAAAAACCGTATTTGAGGAATACGGTTTTATTAACGATATTAATTAAGCAAATTAATTAAGATGACAACGTATTTAGCAAATACGGTTTTTTTTTTTTTTTTTTCTTTTTCAATTAGTTTTAATTACTAAGACGTATTTATAAAATACGTTTTATATTTTGAAAAATTAATATTTTGAAAAATAATTTTTCGTATTTATAAAACACGAAAAATAATTTTTTGAAAAATAATTTTAATCAAAACGTATTTATCAAATACGGTTTATATTATTATTATTTTTTTTTAAATTAAAACCGTATTCATGAAATACGGTTGATAATAGTTTTAAATTTTTTTAATAAATGAAAACGTATTTGTTAAATACGTTTTCAGGAAAAAAAAAAATTTGGGGAAATTTGTAAAACCAAATTTACCCAAAAACCAGTTATACCTGTTCGACCAACTAATATCAACATATTCACCAAATAATAATCCAACATACAATAATGAAATAAATGAAAAAACACAATAATTTGTTAAAACCAAACAATATATAAAAACGATATAATTCGGTTTGTACATACAATCGAACAAGTCAAAATGAAGCACAATATCCACGAATTCAACACAACTAACTAATTAGGAGTGTATGGATTCGGAGGCCTGCGCTGTCTGGACCCCCTCCGATAATATACAAGTGGAGGTGGAGGTGTGAGAAGCGTGTCAGCTTGAAAAGCTTGATCACTGTCATCTCCTCCATCATCTGCGTAATTCAATTGGAAAAAAAGAAATCATAAATTGTACTGGAAAAAAAAATATTTAATTTAAAAATCTCACCTTGTTGAGGGTCGGGCGGCTGAGGTATATAGTAGTCCTGGGCGGACTGCTGCTCAGAAGGGAAGGGCTCGGGCGGCTGAGGTATGTAGTAGTCCTGGGCTGACGGGTGCTGAGGTGGGAATG